CAAAGTGTTTATGGATGAGATGACACTACATCATATGATGTGTTTTAACATAATCCAGAGGGGAGGTGGAGGAAGTGGGAGGGGATATAGATGAAATAACTGATCATATATGTTGATTAGTGCTGAGGCTGAAGGTAGGTAGAAAGGGATTCATTTCCTATTTTTTTCATATGCTTAGAAATGTCCATAACATAAAAGCAATGAAAACCAAAAAACTAGAACTAAAAAAAATATGAGGTAGATATATACAACAAAATTAGAAAGCTCTCTTTAAGTAGGAAAAAAGACACATCCTGTTGATGTTAAAAAACCATGCAACTACTGGCTGGTTTGGTGCTTGTAGCTAAGCGGCTAGAGAGTCAGCCATATACACCAGAGCTGGTGGGTTCAAACCCAGCCTGGGCCTGCCAAACAACTAAAACAAAAAAATAGCTGAGCATTGTGGCAGGCACCTGTAGTCCCAGTTACTTGGAAGGCTGAGGCAAGAGAATCACGTAAGCCCAAGAGTTTGAGGTTGCTGTGAGCTGTGACTCCATAGCACTCTACCAAGAGTGACATAGTGAGGCTCCGTCTCAAAAAAGATAAAAATCATGCAACTACTATCTGTATATACACCTATTTATGCAGAAAATGCACACCTAACTGTCAATAGTGGTATCCATCTGGAGATGAATAGGATTGGGGGTGTGAGTGGGTAGCAGGGAAACTCTTTCACCTTTATATTTTCTAAATCATTTAATTTTTTAAATTCAGTATATATCAATTTTGTTTTAAAAATAAAATCAAGCCATCCCTGCTCACTTTGCAATGGCCTCATCCCGGTCCCTGATGGCCTTCTGAAGCTGCTCTTTGTCCTTTGGCTCCTTGTCCTCAGATGTCACTCTGAGTCGGTCTCTCTCTTCTTTGAGTGCAGTCATCTCCACACTCAGCAGCGTTACCTAACAGGAGACCAAAGAGGGAGAGAAATGATGATACATGTATTGCTGCTATTGGCCTGAGATGGTTTCCCTTCCAAGAAGGAAACAGAAAAACCCCAGGCAGGCACAGGGTACACATGCGGAGTGCAGGCTGGAGTGTTCACGGCTGTCTGATCTGAGGTCCTATCTCTCACGAAGAAAGGACATCACATGCTAAGCTTAAGTTCAGTGGCAAGGGGGCTGGAGGAAGTTCAGCCCTGGACCTACAACCATGGGCTAGATTCCTTTTGTACTCAGTATACCATACATACCACCTCTTTCATCTCCAGGCATTCCAGGTAACTAAAGAAAAAAAGCCATAAATGCATCTGGACTCTGAAACACTTTTAGGGGTAGGAACTCCAGTTTTGTTTCTAGCCTTATTTACTCAGTGTGAACACTACTATCAATAGGGCCCTGGATAGGTTCACAACCTAAGTAAGCCCTGGCTCCCATCTCTGTAGCACCTGGCTCAGCTCCCCAGATCAAAGCCTCAGGGAATTTAGATACCTTAACAAAGTTATCATCTTATACTTCCTCAGTGAAGGTCACCAAGGCCTACTCAGGCAGTCCTTCATGCTTGACCTGGAGTCAATCCTTTTTGATGAAGCTCCCTCCTAGTGGCTTCATCAGTGACCACACCTTATGCTACTCCATAGTATGGTAGCCCTGTGTATACCAAGATCATGGTGGTGGCAAGAACTGTGTCATATCGATCTATGCATCCCAGAGCCTGAATGGGTATAGTGCTTAATCCTAAAGTACTTGCACAAAATACAGTGCACAATTAACGTTTTTTGGCTAGTCATTATCCAAAATCTCTTCCTATTTTGGGAGCAGCTGAACTAAGGAAGCCAATAGGACAAAGACATTTCCTTTCCTAAGCAGCCTGGGCACAGGTAAGCGACCTCAACTTTTGAGTCACACCCCTCCCACCTGGCATTGAAGCTTCTGAGGGAGTACAGCAAAGCGGACCAGCAAATTATTTACAATAGCAGCAGACTGTTTCTGTTGTTCCCTTCCCATGGAACAATTTCATTTTGGAGCTGAGTTTCCTGCTTTCCTTGATTCTTGTAATATTTAATTCTAATACATTTTCTTTCTGCTTAAATCAAGCAGAGAAAATTTCTGCAGTTTGCAAGCAGAAACCCTGTCTAGAGAGCTTTCGATAAATATATGTTGAAAATAGAAGGGTGGGGAAGAACCTTTTCTCAGCTGATAGGATCAGACATGAGTTAGGAAACCTGATCCTGCCCTTCCCTAAGGGAGGATCCATCCATACAGGTCTTGTATGCCTTCCTCCCACAAAGGCACAGATGCCACTTTTCAGTATACTCCTCTGCTCTTGAAGCCCCAGGCCTAATTTTCAGTGGAACTGAGCACAGGCCACAGGACTAAGGCTAAGATCAAGCTTCCCTGGAGATAGTTTAGAGGCTCCCCAGGCTGAGGCAGGAGACCCGGGGCAGTAGCTGCTCTGGAAGAATTTAGAGGACACCCAACAATGAGGAAGGATAGAAGGACAATTTGTTGCTATTATGAGCAGTGGATTTTGTACTCTTTAGAGTCTGGTAGGGAACATTAGGGCCTGATGCTTGTGTTAGAACAGCTCAAAGCAACTGCTTTCCCAGTGGGGGACAATTGGGTGAGCTGGATCCAAAACCTAAGGGAAGAACAGGGTGGAGCACCCATAGGAGCAGCCGTGGCACATACACCTGCACGTCCCAGTCCCTAAGGCAGACAAGGCACCATGCAAGAAGCAGGCCTCATCCTATTTACTAGCAGGTTCTGCAGCTGGTTCAAGAGCCAAAAAGCACCCAGCAGAGACAGCCAGACCTCCATAGGCCAAATGAGCCCTGACATGTCCTTGGACCAGCTATGGGCCAGTCAGGTATTCTGTCAGCTGAGTGAGGGATAGGTAAAACTACATGCTAGGCAAGAAAAGCCAGCATGTAATGTGCTCCCAATGAAACTCCAGAAGAACTTACTTACTTTGGCCTGGAAAACTTGGCCAAGCTAGAGCCCACCAACCATGTGGCTTAGGAGAGGTGACGAGGGACTTACCTTCTGAGCCACACATAACAAGCAGGTATAAAAATAATTATTCCCCACTACTAAGCTGTAAATATCAAATGAAATAAATAACATCAAGGGCCCACTGCAGTGCCTGGGCACATGGTTGTAAACTCCACTTTCTTCTCCTATCTCCAAGTTGGGACCTAATTGCTGACAACTGTCACGAGAAGACCCAGATCTGGAAAGCCTGGGAGGGCATATGTCACTGCCCTTTTATATCCTATCTTTAGTTTTGCTACAGCAAAGGTGATGAGAGGGAAACCAGAGGGAAGGAGTCTGGATGGCCACCAACTTGAGGCTTCCCATCACTCGATAAGGAGAACCTACCCAGAACCCAGAAGGGGTGTCCCATTTTTAAGTCACGCTTCAGGAATAGCAATCCAAGTCATGCAAGGGTGGGTGGGCTGGGAGAAGGTAGATAAATTGGGAAGTAGTGGCTTCATACAGCCAGGGTATGAAAGGCTGTGGGTCTGAAATAGCACAGGGTCTAGGAGGCTGGAGGAGAGGGGACATGGTGAGAGGTTCCAGAGCAGCCACACAGATTTGATTGTGAAGCACTAACATGCTCCCAGTCCTGCTCTCCCATGTTTTCATGCCCTTTCTGGAATAAATGCCATTTACTCTAGTTGAGCATGCAGGATCCAAACAACAGAACTGGGACTATGTTTCTTACTGAGCCTTCTAAAACTTGAGTCACTGGCCTGAGAATCGGCTGAACAGCTGCCTCAGATAACTAGTTTTTGTATTCTACACACAAATCATCAAAGATCCTCCCTGCCTCCTAGCACGTGCCTTATGTTCACCAGAAGTGAAGAGTGGGCCACATGGGCTGTGGGGAATGAGGGAGGGGACAATTCCTTGCCATGGGCAGGAAAGGCATGACAGAGTGAAAGGGACTTGTGTTCTCAAAGCACAATAATGGGTACAGACCAGTCTTCAGGTCTAGCTATGAATTCTGCCTCAGATAATTATCAGTCAAATTAAACCTCTCTATTTAAAAATTTGGGTAGGCTTTTGCAAGAGTCAGTGCTGCTCCCCACCTCTGACCTGTGGTCTACTTTCCAGGACAGAAAAGAGCACCCTCAAGTAGGATGGCAGCAGACTCAGAGGCTGGGTCACCTACCAGATAAAAGGTGGCACCCAGTCCAGGAGATCTGCTAGAACCTTGGTCCCACCTAACTTTGTCTGGGCCTGTCCCCAAAATGCTCCAGAGATGGTTTTGACTGTCTTTATGACACTGTGAAGTCTTGGAGTATAGGGACCCTGCATATCTACCTTGGGCTTCTCAAGGTTTAGCCAGTGCCAGGCATACAGTGGGTGTCAGCAGACACTGAATTAAGCTTGCATGAAGAACATCATGCCCACTGTAATGGCCATAGTTTCTATAGTCATTCTATTTTTCTTTCTTTTTTTTTTTTTGAGAAAGAGCCTCAAGCTGTTGTCCTAGGTAGAGTGCCATGCCATCGCAGCTCACAGCAACCTCTAACTCTTGGGCTTAAGTGATTCTCCTGCCTCTGCCTCCCAAGAACCTGGGATGGGACTACAGGCACCCGTCACAACGCCCGGCTATTTTTTGGTTGTAATTGTCATTGTTGTTTGGCAGGCCCAGGCTGGATTCCAAACTGCCAGCTCTGTTGTATGTGGCTGGCGCCTTAGCCTCCACAGTCATTCTTGAACTCAGTCTGCTTCCCATCCACTTCCTCAGGATGTCAGTGTTACTACCATGGGCAGTTCTGATAGGTGCAACGTGGCTGAGTTTTCAGCTTTGAGCATTTGGGAAGAGACGACCTACAAGAGAAGCCCAATTCTCTACCCATGTGGAATGTGGGTGCAACCATCTG